GCCTTCCTGAGCTTTTCCAGTTGGTGTGCCAACTACTGACAGTATCTCTAATGCATTAGTGCCTCCCTATCTCTACCTCAAGAATTATGGGTTTGATATTGAGAAGAATGGATCACCTGTTGTTTTTTCAGACTTTCCTAACAATCCCTCCCATATGGACATCTCAAAGTGTTCCTTGACTCATGTGTCTTCTGTGTGTGCCCTTTGTTCTCACAGTTTGCCTCAGGCAAACCATCTGTTTTGCATTATATCTCAAACTTGGTGAGCCTCATGCTTCTTTCCTTGGGATATTTTTTTAACCCAAGTTGGCCAGTTTGTGACTTCTACTTTGAATTCTAATAAATAATTGGAACTCTAAATCTTAACTAGTTTAAGTTTAACTAGTTTAAGTGCATCAATGTCCTCTGGAATTTAGTGATGTTAGCACATGCAGACAGATTAAACTATTTGTTTCAAATTGTAATACTGTGAAGAATTGCAGTGGAATGCAGGCCTGTATCCTCATTTCCTTTTGAACCATGCTCATTGATAGTGTTGTGTTTAATTACAGAGCATCAACTGTTAACACTATTTTAAAGCATGTGAAGGGTATTTATGGGCTTAAGTAAGTAATATCTCCTTTAAACATAAATCTGTTTTAAAGCTCCAAGGAGGACTTCTCTTCCTTCCTGCAGTTAAGAATCTCCAGCTGACATAAAGAATAGAGTGATGTGTATATAAAGCCTATGGCCTGTTTCTAGGTTCACTTCACATCTATTCTCCAAAATATTAAGAGGTGTTATCATACAGTGTGGAAATGCTTCAGACAGATGTGCACAATATTCACTAAACTGTTCAATAGCAACCCATCCTTTGAATATATGTTAAAGAGATATTAGCGAGGTGTATTAATCTCCTTTTCTCCCAATGCTTTTCAGTTGGAAATAGCTTTTTTGGCATGGAGGTGGGAGAATCTATACCAGCTTTGACTGAATTAACATTTGTCAGACATATTCAGTTTTTGCACATTTCAAGCTTCTTCATTCAAATGATATATAGTTTGGGTATGCACAGTGAAATCCAGTGATACCCATCTGCCTTGTAACAGAGTTTTTCTTGTTTATCTGTGAAACCCCTGGATGTCGACAGGGGTTTTGAGAAGTGTTTAAGAGTGCATTCTCAATTTGTCTGGCTACTAGGCCTAGAGATTTAAACATATGGAGGTGGGGAGGAACTAGTTTCTAATTTCAAAACATTCCTTTCCCAGTTTTCTGTATTGGAAGCAATTAATTGTTTTTAAAGGGTCTTAACTCCCTCTAAATGAATATTTTAACTAAAAATTTACAGCAATAGAGACTAGTAGCTCTTAAATATACTGAAGACCAGGATGAGCTTTCCAGATACAGATGGACTTCAGTTCCTATAGACTGCAAGTCCTATGATCTAACACCATTGCTCATGCTGGCTAGGACTGTTGGGATTTGCAGTCCATTTGGAGGGCTACAAGATGTGCTCTCTTGCTGTGTAGACATCAGTGGTGTAATTATAAATATTGAGGCCCAGGCCCTCACTAATACAGTCTTTATAGCACCACCACCCCTGGACAGTCCAAAAATTAAGTTGGATGTGTTGGTTTTAGTATGTAGTTTTAATCTGTATCAGGAACAGTTCTTTTGTAATGCTGTTCCTTAAATATTTTCAGTTATAACAGGAATAACTGAATAGTTGTACATCACTGCTGTGAAAATCTACGTCCCATAAAGTTAATGAAGAGTGGGATTGGCAGCTGAACTCAGAGGAAACAACAGGTGATGATGGAAGATGATGTCATGGTCTTTTCTAATTCCAGGACTTTGATCCTGAGAGCCCAGGTGCCATTACACTCTCACTCTAAAATGCATTTTTGTACCTAAAGGATGTGATCATATTTCTGAATCCTAATGTGAGTTAATTTTAAGGAGATTGTTGAAAGAAAGTTGCATTGTCTCCTCCCTCTGTGCCCCCCTGAAATAATGTCAGTAATGATTGGGGCAATCACTGGAACAGTGTAGGATGCAACAAAGGTGACAGTGCTCCGGCCACTATTACGCAGTTGTCTGATTTGGGGCAAAACTCTTTTCTCACTGCAGCCCTATCTCCTAGGAGCTTGAGTAGCAAGGAGACAAGAAACTTTACATCTGTAAATCTCTTTCAGATTAATTTACTTTAAGAGCTGAGCTTTAGTTATTAAAGATTAATATGCCAGTGACAGTTACCCCCCCAAATAAAAAAGTCAGCTAGGTTTCCAGATGAGAGTATGGCTAAGGGAGAAGCAAGAGTAGCAGCTGAACCAGCATTCTGTGTATCTATCTGTCTGTCAGTTGGTCTGTGAACTTGGATGGAAGCCAGGTACGCCCTGTGAATGAGGAATGTGCTGCAAATACGCTTTATATTCTCCCTTCTCTTTGTGTTTGGTCCTCATTAAAAGGGCCTGATGAAATTTAGTCACTTGTACATGTCTGTGTTCAATGAAAGAAAAATTATTCTTATGTTGTCCCTATTTGAGTGGATGGTGGGAGGTGGGGGAACATTTAGTACTGCTCTTTCCCACTGTTACTGCTACTGACATGGAAGATAGAAAGATGCAAGTAACCACAGATCAAATATACTGCTGTGTTCAGTTTTTTAAAACACAAATACCATCCTCACTTCCATCCCCACTTAACCTAAAACTATAGTTCTCAGTTGACTAAGGGCCTTTATAGACTGCCAGAAATAGTGCAGCTTGAGGCCACTTTAAATGTCCTGGCTCAGTGCAAAGGAACTGTAGTTTATTGTGGCACCAGAGCTCTCTGACAGAGAAGGCTCAATGCCCCAGAAAAAATACATTTCCCATGATTCCTTAGCACTGAGCCAGGACAGTTAAAGTGGCCTCAAGCTGCACTATTTGTGGCAGTCTGTAAAGGCCCTAAACCAGGGGTAGGCAACCTTTTCCCTTTAAGGGCCGAGGGACTTCAGTTCCCAGAATCCCAGGAGCTATTGGCCAACATGGGACTATTGGCCAACATGGCTGAGGCTTCTGGGAGTTGAAGTCCCTCGGCCCTTAAAGGGGAAAGGTGCCTACCCCTGCCCTAAACCATTCTGAGTGGTTTAACTGTACCAGTTGTACTCCATTAAATTGTTTCCTAAATTTATACAATTTATTATCTATCCTAGAAGAAAATGTTCTCAGGGCAACTGTATAAAGACAGGTAAAATAAAAATAAAAATACCATAAAATCAACACTAAACCCCTCCAGCCAAAAACTTCCTGTAAAACAATGGTTTACAGTGCAGCCGACACCAACTTCTAAAAGTTTTCACAGAGATAAGGTATCAAACTGTGAGCCAGCGTGATGTAAATGGTTTGAGTATTCGACTGCGATTCTGGAAACGGAGGTTCGATTCCCAGCCCAGCCATAAAACTCACTGGGTGACCTTGGGCAAATTGCATGCTCTCAGCCTCAGGGGAAGGCACTGGCAAACCCCCTCTGAACAAATCTTGCCAATGAAACCATGGTCTCCATGAATTGGAAATGACTTGGAGTCACATAACAACAAAAGGTATGTAACTAGGCAAGGATATTATATATTGGTTTGAAAAACCTGAGAAGATAAAACAGTCTTTGCCTGGAATGGGGGAAAACACTGAGTTAGTCACCAGTTGGATTCTTTGAAGAGAGGATTCCATAATTGAGGGACTTTCACCCAGAGTATGGGTACTGCACCTTCATATGAAATATCACCTAAACCAGGGGATTCTGGTGATCTTGGGGTACCCTAGTAACAGTAAGTAGAGAGAGGCAGTCATCCATGATCTCCATTCTGTTCCCTTTCATGAAAATTACATGAAATTCCTTGCATGGAGGAACATTTATTAAGCAGCAGTTGTAGTGGAATTACATGTCCCTGATATGATTAAATATTACAGGCAGTTATTGAACAATGCCTTTGCCCTCATTCTGCAAAACTGTGCAAAACTGATGACA